CAGTGGTTAAGAATCCGCCTGCCAATGCAGGGGACATGGGTTCGAGCCCTGGTCCGGGAAGATCCCACATGCCGCCGAGCAACTACAACTACTGAGCCTGCGCTCTAGAGCCCATGAGCCACAACTACTGAGCCCGCATGCCACAACTACTGAAGCCCGCACGCCTAGAGCCCGTGCTCCGCAATGAGAAGTCACCGCCAATGAGAAGCCCGCACACCCAATGAAGAGTAGCCCCCGCTCGCTGCAACTAGAGAAAGCCCACGCCCAGCAACGAAGACCCAACGCAGCCAAAAATAAATCAGTTAATTAAAAAAAATTTTTTTTTTAATTTTAAGTATTAAATTCACATAGGCCTATCATAATTCAACATGGTGGCAATGATCTCTCTATGAAACACATTCTAGAGAGTTTGTTTTGCTCCGTGATATTTCTGGATATTTCCATATTTATTTTATTTTGTAATATTGGGAAACATTGAAAGCATATGGAAGATTTTCTGAGATCAGTGTACAAAGCCTTTACACTAAGGTGAAGTAGGTGTGCAAAGAGCAATACTCTCGATGATAGCCATTATATTTTCTATGAACTGACTGCAGTAGAAAACATAACCCTCCCACGGGATACAAAGCAGGAGTTTTTCTTTGTGCCCCTGTATCAGACCCCTGTGTGGTCAGGTGCCAATTCTTCGTACAGACTGATGGGCTTTAGAACCTTCTTACACTGCCAACTGACTCCAGGTGAAACTGTGCTGAGTATCTTCTATTTGCCTCCTAGACCCACTCTCCCCCTTTCTGGGTCCTTTTCTGGGCTCTGTTGTCTGGCCTAAAGTGGATCCTGATCCTCTGACTTCTCTTTGGATTTGGTGAAGGGCAGAGATGGCAGGAGACCAGAGAGCAGGAGAAGGAAGTCAGGGCATTTATGCCCACAATTCCCTCCGGGCACCAGGTCACCGTGGATTGGATGCATCCCTCCAGTGAAGGCCATCGCTCCTGTCCAGCAGCCCCCTCCACAACACTCGGCCTCCCTCTGACATTCTGGGTTTTCCAGCAGCTTCTCCTCGCCCTGCCCCTTCAGGTCTAGGGCTGTAAACACCTCCCATGATTACTAACCCCAGAGAGCTGCTTCATCTCTCATTGCTTTTCCCAAACCCTGTCCACAAAAACTCTCAATCAAATCATCCTCACCTGATCCCTGACAGGACCTTGGCTGATATGGTAATAGTATAATTATCCAAAGAAAAAAATAAATATGGCTAAGTGCATTTATTCTTCACAAAGCAAAAAGAAAAAAGTGACCTAATGTGGTTTAGAAAATTCTTTTATTCAAGTTTGAGATAAAAGTTTAACCCCATGTTACCTCTATGATTATTCTATGATACCTAGATCTTTATAATTTCCAGTCCTTTTTTTAAAGACTTTGGGCATGTTACTAACACTTATGTAACCTCACCACGTACAAGACAGCATGTTAGAGGACGAACAGATCACTGGTTCTCTGATTCTCATGAGATAAGTTGCTTTTGCAGCATTAAATTTAAAGGTAGACATATTTTTCTTTTAGATTCCCTTGTATTGTTTCATAGCTCACCTTTTCACTTGGCTGTGATTGGGTTTTACTTAGCCCCGGGCTTCACAAGGTAATCAAGTTTACTCCATCCAGATGTTTCTGGTCTGCAGCACAAGAAAGTGGCAGGGACTCAGCTGAGTTGATTAATCATTTAAGGAGGCAAGGAGGGGCTTCCCTGGTGGCGCAGTGGTTAAGAGTCCGCCTGCCGATGCAGGGGACACAGGTTCATGCCCCGGTCCGGGAAGATCCCACATGCCGCGGAGCGGCTGGGCCCGTGAGCCTGTGCTCCGCAACGGGAGAGGCCACAACAGTGAGAGGCCCGCATACCGTAAAAAAAAAAAAAGGACGCATGGAGCCCACTAAAAGATTCTTCCTAGAAAAGCAAGACTATTTCCCCAAGCTTGTTTGGAGAGCAAGCTCCTGTATCTAGAGGAGGAAAGACAACTCTGAGAACAAGGAGTCTGTCACTCAGATTGTCCCCAGCCCAATTCCAAGGAATAGAGGGAAATGCTCTTTTCACTCGTAATAGCTGTGAGGCATCCCAAACACAAAGCAGAATTGCATTGATAATAATGTGTGAAAGCACAGCACAGGACTTGGAAGAAAGTAATTCTTTCTCATTTGAGCAGAGCAATTCAAGTGCAGTGTGACTGAACACAGGGGACCCTCCCTGCATGGTAGAAGTCAACTCCAGCACCTGTGCAAGTCCCTTGAGTGACAGCTCTAGTGAGGCCTAGTGCCTCTCAACCGGCGCATCACCAAGGCTCCAAGAGCTCACAGAATGACAGTGGAAGTGCCCTTAATGGCGGACACACTGTCATCAGAATGGCAGCAGAGGCTCTAGTGGAAGCTGAAGGCTTTAGCTGCCAGGGGAGTTAGCTGCAGCGTCAGCAGCTATAGACGCTGCTGGTAACTTTGGCAGTGGCAGGAGAGTGCATCCTAGGCAGTGGGCACCAGCATCAGTGGTCAGCTACCCTCACATGGCAAAGAGGACTCCAGAAGCCATAGTTTAAAGGGACAGCTTCCCTTAGGTCAGCTCTTTCTTTTTTATCCTTGAACAAAAGTGAGTTTACAGTATTAGGTGATCTCCTAGGCCCTCAGAAAAAGATCATCGAATGATAAACTCTGAATAGAGGGAAACACAAGCAGTGGCACATCCAAAGCAGCCGAGGGCAACACAAGGACAGTGAGAGACTCATGATGAAAATCACCATCTCTTTGCCAGCCCTGCCAAGGACTGGGCTTCGATGTCAACAGCACAGAACTCCAATAGCACACTTGAAATATAAATAGTCATGCTCTCCCCTTTCACTAATTTAATGAATTATACATGCCAGGAAAAATTAAGAGCACTGACGATGTAGAAGCATAAGACTTCAAACACCCTGAAATATTTTGGAACGAATTTTTCTGTCTCTGTGCTCCCTACAGAGTGGCAATTTTAATCTACTTCCCTAAGGGCAGGGAGACCAATGGAAATACCACAAAATATGTTAAGTTATAAACCAAATGCTTATAAGACTCCAGATTTCTCAACAACAGAGCTCAAGAAAATCACAAGAAAAACGTTAACTTCCTAAAGATTAGCAGTAAATGGCAAGACAACCATATGTTGGCTGAGTAATGGGGTAAAAAAAAGTTTCCTACAGGCATGGAGTATCTTCTTTGATAACCTCCAGAGTGTATCAGTAGTGATTAGCGCTACAAGACTCTCAAGAAAATGAGCACCAGACCTGGCTGGGAGCACGGTAAGTAAGACACAGTACTGCCACCCATGGGAACTGGCTGGGGACCTAGGTGCCTTCTCCAGACAACAGCCAGCCTTCTCTCTGTTGCAAGCTGTCATTGTGCCATCAGAACGAACCCAAGAGAACTGTCATTATTCATCAATTCCTCCCTCCTTTTTTCCCCATCTCATCCGAGACCTTAGACAGCTTGGAGAACACGCATTTCATTACAAAAAAAAAAAAAGAGAGACTGGGACAGCTACTGACTTTGAGTGTAATTACACTGCAAGGTAATGATAGCACTCCTCCGAGCTTCTGGAAACGGAAGAGGACAGAAGCAAAGACTAAGGAATCTCTGTAGAGTATAAATGCCCCCAAATATGACTGGAAGTAGATTGAAAAGCTGTTTATGCCACTTCCTTCTCTACTCAGCAAATGCTCATCGTCACAAAGAAGATGGCCACCCCAACATAAACTAGGAATAAGAACTTATAGGATTCTGGATTTTCATTAAAGCGAACTTCAGGACTTTTCACTGTTCAAACTGTGCCACATCATAGGAAAGACAACTTGGTAGGTGGTACAGTATTGCAGTCAAAAACAATCCGATTTTGGAAAAATGAAACGTACAGAAGAATGCAACAGCTACATACATTTTCACCAAGGCTGTAATAGCTTTCTTTCTGTCATTCAAGCAGGTCAGAAAAAAGTGTCATGAAGCAGTTGATGTCTTGGGGTAGTCAGATGTTTGCAATTGTGTAAATGGCGGCTAAAGCAATCAGGCTATAGATTCAGCTGTGTTCTCAATCGCTGATTGTAATTTTATCATCTTACAAAAAAAAACCTGTGTATTACTAAACCACCCAAACTTTGATCCACTTATGTCATCAACCAATAGGAACTGAAAGAAGTATTTCTGTATAACCATACAGACTGGTAATATACACACATACCTAAGACAACCAACAAAACGTAAGTCTGTGTTAAGTGATCTTCAAATATCAGGAAGAAGACAAAGGTTTCATCAGAGATACACAGAGACACACATGTATACAATTAAGATATATCCTCCTCTCATTCTTTCTTTTTTTTTAAATTTCACATGAACCCTTCACTTAAAGAGTAAAAATATCTAGATTCCCATTCTACTTAAATATATTCAAGCAAAGCTCCCGGGAAGGTTTCCAGGGAGTTAGATTGCTTTGAAACTGGCCATGCATTAAATAAAGCTTTGTCTAACAAAAGTGAAAGAGTAACTGATATGGTATCTGTACGTTCACTCTGCACAAGGTTCCTGTGGCTCAAAAGCATTACTCAAAGACAAAGAACACATCAGATTACAGCTCTGGAGTCTCGTACTCTACCTCTGCCAGCAACCCTGCCAGCTTACACGACACTCTGTGAGGGCCAACCACCTGCTTCCTGAGGAATCTGTAATCTACCTTCTCCATTAGTTCCCCCGAGGTTCTCCTCCTTTACACATATGCCCCCCTTCACTCATTCCACGGCGTTCACCTTTCATCTCTAAGAGATTCATTAACGATAAGTGTGCAAGGGTTCACTTTAACAGCAAAACCAAAAAGAAAAGCCTTCGGCATTACATTTTATAATGAAACAAAAACTTAAATTCTGTGAGTCTACTGAGCTAGAACTAAAAGCGACTGCAGCAAGAGATGCATCCTGGTACCTGGCTTCTTTTCCCATTACCTGCTTCAGTGTACTTCAATCCCACTTTTTCTTCTGTGTCTTTTGTCTTTGGGGGCGGCCAGACAGCTTGGAGTCTGCCAGGAGTCCTATCGTCCTGCTCAGTGGGGCTGTGGTCAGGCTGTTGGAAAAGTGGGCAAACAAAAGAGTAAGTTAAATGAAATGTGGCCAGGGCCAATTAATCCCTGAGAACGACTGTGCTAACTCTGAAATTAATTTTAATGGCACATTGCTCTCATTCACTGTAACTGAAACATCTCACTCCAATACGATCCTTTTCTAGAAATGTAAAGTGATCAGTTGGGGTGGAAAGAGAAATAACTCAAGGCCAAGTATTACACAACCTTCAACAGATGATTTTTAGCATATAACTTTTATTTTTAAATCACAAGTACACTTTGATCTGAAGATACAAATATACTATAATCGGGTACATTTATAGGGATGTTTAGAAATATATCCCAAACTCCAGGGTTATTTATAATATAAAAACTAGTTTTGCATTTTCTATGAACATTACCTGTAGGCCAAGATACACTTCTCTAAGATGTCCACATTGATCATTTCTTTTTTTTCTTTCCCACACACAAAAAAATGAATGAGCTGGCTTTCACATTCAAGCTATTTTTATAGGGGTTGATTTTTACAACTAGGAGAATGCTATGTTGTATTTAGTTTTTGACTGCAACCTAAGATAGTTTTTCCAAAGACCTTTAAATTTAACTGATGTATGAGGGAATGATAATTGTATGCCAAATTGATACTAAGCAAGAAATTTTATTTGTTGTCCTTATGAATTTTAAGATCCACTGGACAAGTGCTTGCTAGTCCTTACAAATTACCTGAATAATTTTTTTAATAGTAACAGCTTTCACTAATTAGATGGTTACTATGTGCTAACTTCATTTAATCTTCGCAACAACCAAATAAAGATTAAAGGTTATTGTCTTCTTTCTGCTGATCAAGGTCACCCAGCCAGTAATTGGCAGTTAGAATTAAAACCCAAGTCTCACACTAACCCAGTGCTCAATCAAGATGCCTTGTAACCAACACAGAACATTTTAATCACATCACAAACACGTATTTCGCCAAGTGGCAGACTTTCAAAGGAAAAACACAGTTTTCGCAGAGGTATAATAAAGTGGAGAGGAAATCTGGGCTATAGTTCTAGATTGCATTGATTCCTCATGCTGCTTGGTTTTTAGAAGCACATTTCCTATTAATGTTTAAACTCAGAGTGACAGTTTCGCTCTCTGACCTGCACACCTTTACTTATGCCTCTCTTACAACAACCCAGAAAAAGATAAGGAAGAAAGAAAACGCTTCTGTCCAACTCCATACTCCTTACAAGGTCAACTTGACTATAATCATCTTTCACCTAGAAGAGGGTCACTAAGATCTGTATATGAGATTCTCTTTGATAGGAAACCTGAAAAGAAATACAGCAGCATCACATTTTATGACAAAACCCAAAACCCAACGCTACGTACGCTTTTGGAATCCGAGGGGCCATCTCCTGGCCTTGACCTCGACCGCTCAAACACAGCTCTTAGGGACTCCTTCTCATGCCTCATTTTGCGCTTGAGAGCTTCCAGCTCAGAGGTGTCAGCTGTGGTCCCCTTTTTGGGGGGACGGATGAATAGGGCTCTAAAGGCCTCCAAGGTAGTCTCTGGCGGCTTTGGCTTGACCTCTCCTCCCTGGGTCTGGGCTTCTCCGGGGCCGCTCTGGCTCTCCTGGGGAGTGCTGCCACTCCTCTCCTCCCCCCTGGGCTGTTCAGGGTCTTCTGCCTTTGATTCGGCTTTGGGGACGTCAATGTTGAGCAGCTGAGAGAGCTGCTCCAGGAGAGTGGGAGCGGCCTTCGGATCATTTGTTTTCTCTCCCATCTTCACTGCCTGAGGCCCTGCCTGTGCTAGGGACCTCTGGACAGGCTGGGTCAACTTAAGCAAAGCCAGGTCCCCGTCCTTTGGTTTAATTTCAGTGATGGTCTCCCCGACCTCGGCTGGGGCTCCCTTCTTCAGCACACGAAGCCCACTAAAAAAAGCTGGGAGCTGGAAGGACTTCTCTCCAGGGACTTCTTTTTTAGGAGAGGTGTTCTCAGTGACACCAACACTTGAGTTCTGGTCTGTTACCACAGGTAGAACTTTGGAACCTTCTTCTCCAGCTTGTCGCTGGCCGGGGCTATGCTCTGTCTGAAGGCCACCATCCTCGGGTTCCAATTTGCTGTTTATCTCCTGCAGAGTCCTTTGAGGACCTTCTCCACTGGGCTCTGCATCACCCCTTTCTCCAGTGGCAGTATTTTCCCTCCCATCTCCTGGCTTTTCTTGGGACTGCTCAGATGGCTCAGATAAAACACCACTAGGGGACTTTGGGCCATTGATGTTGCTTCCCTCTTCTGGCTCCTGGCCTCCATCATCAGAGTCAGAATCACTGGTGGTGTTCACCAGGGTCCCGCGAACCAAAATGACATTGTCTCTGCACACACTCAAAGCAGCCAGTGGAAGCAGCTCTTGACCAGGCAGAGAAATCCCTGCCTCTGCTTCTCCCCGGCTTCCCTCCAACCCCGTCTCTGTCTCCACCCTCGGAGTCTTCCCATCATTTCCGAGGTCAGGTGGAACCTGAGCCTCCGCCTCCGGCGGATGCAAGCCACTGCTGGGCTCCTCCAGCTGAGGCGTGGGATCCACCACCAAACTGCGAAAGGCTTTCAGCACCGCATCTTCCTCTTCAGGCTGCACAGATTCCAATTTACTCGTAAACCCAAACAGGGATTTCATAGAGAACTTGGTCAGGATCGACTGGGCCACGTCAAGTCCGGCTTCGGGTTGTCCTGGTTCCGAGCCATCACTGCCATTCGGAGCGTTACCCACGTCCTCCATGTCCCAGCCGTGCCCTGGGCGGCAGATTCTCACTTCTGCGATCTCCCCCTGCCCTCTCAGTTTCACCACTCCACCGGTTCTTAACTTCCAGCACAGAGAACAGCAGGACCCGCCGGTGAGACTCAGTCGCGGAGCGAGCACACTTGGCCGGGCTCTGGTCCCTCCCGAGCCCTCCTTCCGGTTTGCGCGGTGATGGGGCGTCCGGGGCAACTGTAAAAAGTCCGCGGAGCTTTATGCCCAGAGGCAGTCGAGGCTGCGCACCTTACTACACACGGACTGGGGAGGCTGCTCCTCTGGGACTTCCGTATTTATTCCCGGGGACAAAAGGCTTTTTGTCGTAGGGAAAGTCAGCCTGCCCCCACTCATCCCAGCCCAGGACTTCGCCGCGAGCTCCGCCCCAGTGCCGGCCGTTCTCCTGGTCGCTTTCAACTTCCTCATTGGTGAGCAAGTGAGGCTCCAGAAAGTGCTGAGCCGGCAAGCAGCTCCTGACGGCCTTCAACCACCCCCCCACCCCCCGGAGCAGCTGAAGAAATTTAAAAGTGAATCAGCAGCAAATGACCGCAATACTTCTTACGGGCTCTCTATTGCCATCTCAATCACGGCCAGAAGCTTGTGCCATCCAGGCCAAAAAAAAAAACCCAAAAAAACAAAAAACTAGCAGTGCACACAGACCAACAGCCACTTACAAAGCCCAAAGCAAAGAAAGAAAAGTAAAGAAAGAAACGGATCATCTCAGGAAGCCCAGGACTCTCAAAAGCAGTTAATTGAATGCCCTTGAAGCTTTTTTTTTTTTTTTAAAGTGCTTTCTTCCGCTTTCCTGCAGGTTTCATCTGGAATGCAGATTTTTAGCTGCCCCAGCCGGAGAAGGAAAACCAACTCGACTGGTTTCGGATTACTGCTGTTTTAGCTCTGCCCCGGGGTGTCAGCGTTCTACAAACAGGTACCTAGGCAAGCGCACCCACCACGCCCACCGTCCACCAGCCTTAGGGTGGCAAAGTAAACAGCCCCAGCCAGCCTGGCAGGAATGATTACCCTCCACACTCTCTGTGCCAACCTTGGGCTTCTGCTCAGCAGCTCTGGCTTCCTGGCTTCCTTATGAATCCAGCTGGCCAAAGCCTCTGTGCTTCAGCCATCCAACCAACAAATTGAAACCTGGCATGATACAAAGTAACACACAACCTGCCTTGTTAGGTAAAGCAATTCACTAAAAGTCCCCAAGGAGTCCCATTCCCCTAAAGGGAAAAACACCTGAAAGGTCTCTATCAGGTCTCTGTCACAGACCCAATTTGCCTAAAACAAAAACAGGAAAGACAAAACCACCACCAAACATCATCTCAATGTAGTTTCCAACGGTGATTACAGGCTGAGAACCTGGCAATGAAGAACTTGGAAAAATTGCAGCTCTGTTTCCCAGCAGCATACCTGCAGCCTCTTGGGGCAGCTTCCTGTCGGACCTGAAGGTCTCAGTGTTTTTCAAATCCCATCCAGTCAGCAGGCATTTAGTAAGCGCCTGGGACGGATAAGGTACTGTGCTGGATCGGAAGAACCAAACTGGCTTAATAGTCATCATGGTTTAATAGTAATCACCGGCTCTCTGAACAAAGCTGCGAGAAGATTGAGCCCAAGTGTTAAACGCAAACAAATTATGCAAAACGGAATCTGTAGCCACCAGCAAAACAACTGTCTTGCTTTATCCGCAGCAGGGAAGGGCTGTGGCTTCCACACTGCTAGCTTGAATTGTGTTTCCCGCTAAGTATTAATACTAAGAAATTCTGATCACAATGATAAATTTCTAGCATGATGCGTTCAAAAGAAACCCTCACACAGAAAGGGTACATATGATTACAACCCATCAACTCCTATTGGAAAGTTAAGACAGTACTTCCTAATCCCTGATTTGACCTTGTATCTAAACGGAGACTTTCCTGTTTGCTCCTGATCCCAGTATATTTGGGGATTATTAACTAGGGCACAGTTAATCAAAAGGCCACCACAACACTGAGGAAAATTCATTGGTGACATGTAAGTCTCAGAACAAGCTTCCTGTCTCAAGGAAATGCCCGTTGATAAAATCATCCTTCTGCTTCTTCGAGACAGAAAACAAAGGAAATCATCACATCAGATCATAAGATCAGTCTTCTGAAGAACTATGTGGACCAGCCAATATGCAGGGGAGGGGAGGAGACATGGCACGTATTTGGTGTTCTTCAACTGAGAAAGCTCTATTTTCTCAGACATAATTATTGATTTCCAGAATAAGTTTCTAAGCACTTTCAGCAGATCTGGGCAAAATGGGACATAAACTGGAAGGGGCTGATGGCTCTTCCACAGTACGGCATGGAGCAGAATTACAAAGGTTTAGCACCCTCTCAATACCCACGGACACCAATACAGTGTCATGGAAAGTGCGGGAAGTCTTGGGTCCCAGGGAGATGATTCGATCCCAGTCCCTTGACTCGACTAGGTTTGTTTTAAAAGTGACGCAACCATGGTCAAGAGAACACAACCAAGCCAAGGTGCACAGCCAGTAAGTGGAGGATACTAATAATACCTAACACTTACTGGGTGTTTATAAGCACTGTTCTGGGTGCTCCATTGTGTATTAACTGATTGGTACATCTAGCTATGAGGCTGGTATTATTTTCTTTTTCATGTTTAGAAAGAGGAGCTGAAAGATGATGTAGCTTGCCCGTGTTCACAGGTGGAACTGGAACTTGAATCCAGGCAATCAGGCCCCAGAATCCACAATCACTCTTCCAAAACCCTGAGCTCCGCATCCTGCCGTAATAGGACGCCACACACGCCTGCATCTTGAAATGTGCAAGAGTGTCAGCCCGGTTAGTGGGTGGTCTCTCACTAGGACACGTATTGTACTTTACCCTTTGAGATGATACAGAAGGTTGACTTCATAAAAAGAAAAAACCATATGCGAATGACCATTCTTTTCTCTCATCATGTAGGGGGGAAATCTAGAGGGGGTGCTTAGAAAAATCAAGCAGAAGTTCCTAGCTGGCTTGTCTACTGGTCACAGACAAGACACAGTCCTCGGGACTCAAACCTATCAAGGGGCTTTCCAGCTCACCCGTACCATTCTCCTTCATTCAGGAAGCTTAACTATCACAAAGATGCATTCATCCAACAATCATTGTTAAGCACCGACTCTGCACGAGGCTCCGGGGATATAAAGATGAAGAAACTCCAGCCCTCCACCTTCATGAAACATGAAGTTGAATACAGGAAATCAGCCAAGAAAGAGGTGATTCCTGTTCATAGGCTGTGAGTGAGTACTTTATACCCCAGACTCGGTCTAAACAGCAATAGGTGGACATAAGACAATTTTGAATGAAAGAAGCAGCGACCATAAAAAATATGAAGATGAGTAAGAAAGAGAAGCATGGTAGTTTACAGAGATCTTTGAATATTGACTCTTTCAGGCCACTGGTTCTCATGGCCATGAGAAATGTTACGACATCTGGTCATTTAGGGAATGGAAAAATGTTTCAGACCATAGTGTTCAAATAAGCAGCCTACAAATTTGATCTTAGTTGGGTGGTCTTGAAAAATGAATCCATTTAATGCTTTAACATTCTCGGCGGGGGGAAGAATAACTTCTCTTGCACGTTATTTCTCTCTGTCGTGTCCTGCTATGCATACTTATTAAGTACCTACTACACAAAACCAGTGACAGCCAAGACTTTCTCCTTTTCAACCTCACCTGACTCTCTTTTGTTCTAACCTCAAAACACTTAAGCTCTCTAACAGCTACACCTGTGCAAAAGGCAGATTAAAAATGATCTGCCTTGGAAACTAGTTGAAACAGGCACGATGAATATTAGGTAGGATTTAACCCACGTGTTGCTCTTTGTAACTACTTGTTAAAAACAATCACTACGCAGCTACTTGAAAACGGAACACTATTTGCCTGCAGAATTTACTACCAATGAATTCTCTGTGTTCCTCCCATCTCACCATCTTCTCGGATTGAGGCTGGAGCTAATTTTACCTCATGGCAATGGGAACATCAGTCCAACAAACAATACCTAGTGAGCTAAGCCTAAAAGAATGGTTGCAAAAACAACAAAAAAGGCATATCATCTCCTGCAAGCAGTAGAACCTAGCTTCTTGATTCTAATAACAACTAGAGGAATGAGCATTAAAAATTTCTAAGTCAATTTGCAGAAATCGCACACTGCCTAAAAGAAAAACTTCCTAAAGCCCCCCACCTCACACACTTACTCTTTGCAGCCCTCTGCCACGTCACTCAGCTTACAGAATGCCTTCCCACATTCTCATAAAATCCCAGAAAGGCAAAGGAAAAGTAAAGCAAGTGAGATTAATTTCACGGTGTTGGGCTAAATGATTCTCATGTTTCTCCTTATCCAGTATACTTCAAGTTCCCAGGCCGCATTTAATGACTAACTGCTTCTAGCTTCTAGGGGTTCAACTAGGTTCATGGGACGATTGCTTGAGAAAAATAGAAAACAGTTAAAATTAATAAGAGTAAGTAAGATTGTAGAAACTATTTCTGTGGAAGGAAAGTTTAGAGCAATGGGCTGAGTAAAGTAAGTAAACTATGAAGATATAAGTGGGGGAATAGGCAGAGATGGGCTTTTTGGGTTCAGGAAGTGTGCTTTAACTAAGTGAAGTCTGATATAGATGGTGAAAACTAAGGACATGATGACCACACAAGTAGTCAAAAAGACATGTGTTAAATGAATGAGGTGTCAGATGAAAGGAGTGTAAGATTATGGAAGAAGCTGGGAAGAATCAAATTGTTGGGAGGCTGAAGAGGACTAGAAGTCAACCAGCCCAACATTCTTCTTCTAAAGATGGAGACATTTGAAGTCGAGAAGCTAAGTAACTGGTACCAGCTCACGCAGCGCAAGTGCGGCCATTAAGGTGGGAAAAGAGGCGTCCCAACTCCTGTCCACCCCGTGTCACATCCCCCTACTGCCCTGGCACGTGATCTTACCTTCTTCCTGATCAGCATCTTCTTTAAACTCATTTTCCACATCTTCAAAATGGAGTTATGAGGCCAAATGATAAGACAGGGCCGGAGACCTCGCTAGGCTTCTCCTTCCATCTCAGGCAGTGCTTTCCCTGCCTTCACAGCGTGGATTCCCCCTGCCAACTACTGCAACCCTCAACACAGCCCCTCTGGCTCAGCCTCGGAGAAGCCAGCAGCTGTTTTTACTGATTGATTCAAAAGAAAACAGGCTGCACCTGCCAATGGCAAGGACGGGGCTCAGTGATTAAGGCCTTTTTCCATCGAGCAGACTTAGTGCAAAATGTTTCTAAGACTGGTTCCACTGAGCTGTATTCAAAACTTCTGTGGAAGTGGGTTGAATGTCGGTAACAAACTAGAAGACTCTGAAAGGGAAGAGGGGAGGCCGAGGCATACTCGTGAAGCTGAGGAAGAGAAGAGAGCAGTGGGTATGTCATCCTGCAATGATCAAGGAA